ATTCTATGCTTCTATGATTTAGGTACTCAAGGGACCGGTCAGGGATCTGCTGCTGATTTTGCAGGGAAGCCCTAAGACGGATCTTTATGGACATCGGTGCGATGACGCCGGTGCAAAACGGGGATGGGATGGGACGCGGCCCCCACGCCCAGCGCCGTCGGTGCACGTGCGACAGCCGAGCGCGGCGCTGCTCTCCTGCGGCATGGCGAGCTGCCTGCGAGGAGGTGTCAGGGCTCGTTCCCAATCGGAGAATGAGCTCACACAGCGCGTTTGGAGGAGCGTAGGGCCCCATGCCGGGTGACGCAGAGGCAGGGGCCGCACGCTCCGGCGCCGGGGGGGAAGTGCGAAACCTCTCTTCATCCTCCCACTCTGTGCAAAACCATTACTGTAGAGCTATTTCCCTCCTGTACCTATTTTCTGGGGGCAGTAGGGGAAGCGGCCGGCCCTAGATGCGTTGTGATTAAAGCTCCGTGTTCGTTTCAGCGTAAAGCGGCCGGAACTGTTGCCCGTTTCCTTCCTTTCATGAGCCCTGACAAGCAGTGCCTCTGCTTACACAGCAACGGCATGAAGGCACACTTGCCTGACATAAGGAACATTTAATCAAAACAAGATTCTCTGATTTTTCTCTTGATGCTTCCTATGTGGGAGTAGATCCATCAGAAAGAAGCTTCAACAGCTCATGGAAGCGTCATGAAAATGCTGCATTGTGCTACAAAAATATTCACTTTCTTGCTTTAGAAAAAAAATTGTTACCAAGTGGAAAAGAAAATCCGTTCAGTTTGCAGGCCTGCTACAGCAGGACATTCTTTGATTCTGCAGTCAGTTTTAAATGGCATCCTGATATGATGCTTAAGGAAGTATTTTCATGAAAACCCACCCAGGACAAGTAGTAAATACCTAGTAAATACCTAGTAAATACCAACCGAAGCAAACAGTTATGTTTACATTTCTTGTCCTTATAATATTTTAAAATAATGCTTAAAAATATCAGAAAGATTAAAAAAAGGCTTGGTTAGATTAACTAATCAAAATTTCTCTTGTCAATCCCCAGCACTTTGATACAAGTCGCTTTGCCACAGAGATTTCATCAAACCCACCCAAAGAACAGTGGTGGGAGGAGACCCTCACATCCAACCCACTCCCAACATCAGAGGCATTTCACTTTTATACTTAAAATGCACTTCTGGAGCGCAATTTACACCTGCAGCACGCTGAACCACAGGCAGAACCACTCTAAGATTTGGGCGATGCAAATCCAGATCTGTCTTCAAATTTAGCATTCTTCAATACACCTCTTGCTACAAATGCGTAAGAGGGTTTAGGGTTTTTCTTCTTTGCTTGAGTCTTGCACTTGAAAACTGACCTCTTCCATCTAGTTCCCAGAATATCCGCATGAAAGATCAAACCTGGGAGTCTTGGTATGGCAGGAGACAGAGAAAAAAGGCACCTAAGTGCTATTTTGGAATTCTGGTGGTAACAAGTTTCCTCAAGGAATGAAAGTTTTCTGAGAAAGTTTCTGCTTAAAGGCAAAAGATGTGAAACGTGGAGCTAGAAGATAAAGAGATGGCTCCGAGGGACAACTCCCCAGTTCCTAATGGCAGCTTCAACCCAGGGTAACCTGGAACTCTGATAAAGAAAATTATCTTTGCCCCCATATATCTACATCTTGGACCATTATTAAACAGCCCACAAAAAGCAAAGACAACCAGCAAACAGCAGCCTTGGAGCTGTGGTGACCCTCGCCAGAGCCCTGCGTGCTCTCAGCCATCCCCTGCGCCGGCACCGGGCAGGACCCGCGATACAGCCCTGGGTTTGCTGCTGGTGGGTGCATTAGGCTCCCCTTGGAGGCAAAAAGAATTGATTTTAAGGAACAAAAAAGGGAAAATAAAAAGGAGGAACTGGAGCACAGGTTCTTTGAAAGCTCCTGAACAGAGAGAGCAGGTCCGGAGGAGGGCCACGGAAATGATCCAAGGGCTGGGCCAGCGCTCCTATGGGGAGCGGCTGAGAGCTGGGGCTGTTCAGCCTGCAGAGAGACGGCGCCAGGAGACCTGGCAATACGCAAAGGCGGCTTGTGAGAAAGGTGGAGAGAGACTTTACCAGGGCCTGAAGTGATAGGACCAGGGGTAACAGTTTCAAACTGAAAGAGGGGAGACTTCGATTTGCTATAAGGAAGAAATTCTTTCCCACAAGGCTGGTGAGACACTGGCAGAGGTTGCCCAGAGAAGTTGTTTGTGGATGCTCCATCCCTGGAAGCGTTCGAGGCCAGGTTGGATGGGGCTTTGTCCCTGGCAGGGGCTTGGATCTTTGAAGGTCCCTTCCAACCCAAACCGTTCCGTGATTCTGTGGTCTTTTCTCAACGCTCCCCCTCGTGGGAGAACACTTCCAAAACATTTCTAGCTCTGCTCATTGCCTTCTCTCCAGAAACCCTTAACAGCTAAGAAATACTTTGCTTTCGTTTTTATCCTTTAGAAAAGGAAAAAAAAATGACAGATTGCGTCTACTTAATAGAATTTTCATATGGAAATAGACACTCTTCTATATGAAGTATTACTCTCTTAAACTGACTTTGTGCAGACATTGCCTTGAAGCCATTTTGGATACGATGCATGACAGCAAATCTTATGGAGCAATAAACGAAACCAGAAGTTGCAAGGAACAGTGCAAGCGTCACAGTACACCACGATTTAGCAATTCAAAAGTTTTTGGAAGAAGAGTTGTATTAGAAGTGCTGGGCTGCTGATGACAAGTAACTACACAGAATAAATCCTTTATATTGAGCTGAACTGCTAATTGCATTTACTGAAACTACAGTTTGCAATGGTTACCATCTAACCAGTTTATTAAAGAGTAAACAGTGGGGAAGAAAAACATTGCTCTTGTCCTATACTTCTGTTTTAATGGCATGGCACAGCAAAACTGGAAAACATCTCCACCTGCTTTTCATAGAAAAGAAATTATTTTACAGAAGTAGTAACCATTTAATGAGTCTTCCCAGCTGAAAAAAACCTAACCCTAAACCAAACAAAAAACCCAAACAAAGAAACAAAAAACCCCAAGAGAAAACCTTGCAAAAAGGACCTTTTAGGATACTTCACAACAGACCATTCCAGCAGGAGTCTAAATATACAGATTTTAGGTTTTGCCCAAAGTAGGATTTAAAAAAAAAAAAAAACCACCCATGGTCCATGGGTTCTTTCTTTATTTTTGGAAACAGTACCAAATTTTTAATTTCCCATGCAAACATCAATTAGCCGATTTCCTTCGCATTCTGCTGAATGCCTGAGGTAGTGGCCATAGCAGTGTCCCACATTTAAGCTTACGTCTAATTACACTTTACAGAAGCATCCATAGAAAGTGCTGCTTCAGGACATACCTACTTCCCTCAAGCTAAATTCAGGGTGAGCAATGAGGGCACAAAGGCTTCTGAAATTTAAGTAAAATTTAATTGAAGCTGAGTAACTGAAGTCAAGAAAGTAATTTGCCACACATACGCTAGAACTGACAGTTCTGCAGATGTGCAGTAAGCTATGGAAAAAGGGGACTGTTCTCCCCATCCCACCCACTCCTCCCTTTTTCTAAGGTAACTTTGGCACTGAAAGTAGGGAGAATTACGAGCTCTTGTTGGCACAGCTGTGATGTGCCAGTATACTGTTTTACAAAGGGAAAAATTTCCCCCACTGTTTATAACGCCTAGCCTAGCTGGAGTCCATTCAGTCATTGCGTGCCTTCAGGAAAGCTTTATGTGGCTTATTATTAAAATGGTTACAAATCCCTGAAATCCCAGCAGATGTTTGCACTGAACTCCACGGATTTCTCACCGTTTAACCAAATACAAGCCCACTAGAGTGATCACTGTTCCACCGAGGAACGGCTCCCTAAATCTCCCCTAACAGGGGATAATTGCTACGCATCGACCAGATAAGACACCCCTGGGACACCCGAAGTTTGTCAGGCGCCACGGGGCATGAGATGGGTGGCACAGCCTTTCTCCCCGCACGTATATTTACCGCTGAGGCCCTCCTGTGGCTGCGTGGCAGATACCGAATATCCCTTCCCCTGGGAGAAGGACAGCTGAGCGAGCAATATCTGCCCAATTCTTCAGGGAAAGGTAAATCTACAGTCAAATCCACAGCTGCAATGGACACTAACCCTAGGGAACTTCTGCAGCGCGGAAACGTGCGGCAGCCGGCAACATTACGGACGCCCCAGATGAGATGAGTGAGGGAGCAGCAAAAAGAAGCAGGGCAGTGGGAATCACAGGGATGAAGGGCTGTGGAATTCTCTCACCTTCCACGCTGCGGGTAAGTCATAAGAAAAAGCAGGATCAAACTGGCAAGACCTCGTCCACAGGAAAACTTTACCCCCAGGATAATTATAAAGCAAAGCCTGCAGAGTCAGAAACATGTACTTACAGAGGAAAAAAGCAAATATTTAGCAGGATTAGCGTCCCAGTAAAAATCTACCTTGTTCTAGTCCAGTCCCTTGGTTCCAAATTCTTTTTCTGAATTCATTTCAGCTTTAAGGTGTTTATCAACAATGAAGAAGTTGAATGAAATGTTTCCTTCTCTAACAGAAATCTAAACCTAAGCTTAAAGGAAAAAAAACAAAGAAAATTTCTGAACTCACAAAGCAGCACTTCAGTACAAGAATCTGTTTTATTTTTACAGTGCAATGATTGAAACAACGTAGAAATTTACCTTGCAAAACTGAATTTATATCACAATGTCTATCAGAAGGCAGTACATAGGTGTTGTTTTGTTCTTAATCATAAAATACTTCTCTGGACACCAGAAATTACAAACTTTTAACACTATACACTTCACTTTATTTTAGAGACTAATTAATCATAATTTAAATCTATCTTATAAACAATTTCTTTTAAAAAATATGTGGACGATAAAAAGAACTCAAGTATTAAGCTCAAGGCCTTGATTATTATTATTTTCTTCTTTTATTTTAAGAAATGTATAAAAATGATAACTCTGTGGGTATTACAGCTACTAGTCAGGCTCTGTAACACACTGCTCCACAATTTCACGCAAGTTTGGATTCTCCATCGCAGCCGCTACTCTCTCTTTGTCATTGATTTGCTTGTTGACTGCAAAACGTCACATGAAAAGTGAAGTCAGAAGCAGTTTGCAGTGGTACTTTACACATACTGCACCAGTAACACGACAAATGCTAGATATCATACTGCAGCGAAGGTTTCCCAAAGCTAGTGAACGGCCAGCTCAAAGACTGAGAAAATGCTGCTGTACAGTAACGGTACATTGTGTCAACTTTCTTTTCAATTTTCTTTTTAGGTGGAAGATATTATTTGCAGAACATCCCAAACTGAAATTTGTACAATAGCCGGTAAAGCACTCTACAGGCAGACATTTAAGTTGCATGGCCTAGACTAAGGTCGTGCCAGACACAATAGAAGGACAACAAGACAAGAAGAATATGAGGGTGCTCAAGAGCCAGCAGTCAAAGGACAGAGGATTAATAGGAATTTGGGAACAAAGGAAATGAAAGCTCAGTCACAAAAAAACAACCACCAGAAACCAAACCCTTTTGTTACTCTTCCAGTTTAGGAAAAGAATCAAGATGCACTAATGACACGTCTTGAAATCAAGCGTGAAATTTGTGACAAATTAGTGGTCCAAGTTCTCCAGGTTCAATTTCTATTCATTTAATCAAAAGAAACGATTTTCCCCATACAAAGATATCTAATGCTTGAGAACAAAATGCGTGGGACATTGCCTGGACAAGGGCTTTAACAGCTGCTTAAGCCAGTGATTGGCTATAGCTCTGAAAGAACTTTGATGTCCTGCAAGGTTTACTTTAAACATTGACTGAGATGTCAGTCATCACTGACTGACGAGAAACACAAATTTTTATTATGATGATGCTAAGATAGCAAGATCAACCAGTCAGGAAGTTCTTCACGTTAATTATTCAGCAGCACAGTAGCAACTTCTTTTGTTATAAACACAACTCAACACCTGCAAGAACTGTGGGGGTTTTTTTGCTTAAAAAACCCAAAACAAGAAGCATATGTTCACAGTACCGATACAGCTTCTGAAGCAGCCTCAACTACATGTTTCATGTTCAAGCTTTAACAGTGTATTCATTTCTGGAAAGGATAGCAAGGTGGGGGAAGAAAAGGACTTCTCAAAAGAACGCAAACACACAGTGTAAAGCTGCGCTCATTCATAAGCTCTACTTACTGTCTTCTTCAGTGGAATGTGTACCTTCAGATATGTAGATTTCCAGCTAGAGGAGAGATCATTAATGTTAGATGCATACATCAACAGTCAAACATATTCATTACTGGAAGAAAAAAAGTTGTATAATACACATACAACGCATGCAATTCATACTTTTAAAAATGTTCACAGACAACGAAAAGGGATCAATTGCAAGAGCTGATCTTAGACTTCCCTGCGGCACCATCACAAGACAACCTCCCCCCCCATTTCAGAGGCCCCAGTAATCTTTCTTCAAAACTGTGGAGCCATTCATTCCTCACTAATACCAACTGCTCTCGTGAAAATGTAATTGCAGTTAGGCTACTGGAAACAGAGTGGAGAATTGGCACTACTTCCCCAACAAGTTCTCTGCAGGCCACAGTTCTGAAACAATTTGTTTAAAAGCCAGCAGAATTGCAAGTGTCACTTTCACAGGCTAAGCACTCTTGAAAAGACATCCTTGGGAAGAGATTCCTACTGAGATATTCCTAATAAGTTTCGCTCAATGATGAGAATCACAGATGTTCTATTTGAAAATGGTAGTGTAATGCAGTATCTATTTCCTGCATGGGAACAGATTATAAGACTAGAATTGAACCAGACCTAAATCACCTTAATGCATGTAACAGGCCTGGGAAAAACAACAACAACAAAAGCCCTCACACATGTTGAGCTGCAGGGAGATCTCATAAAACTGACATCCCAAAGGGAAAGCAAGTAAACAAATCCTATGCCTTTTGTCTTACCTCACTGAAGCTAAACCTATTTGTTACCATGTGTCCAGCATAACAAATCACCGTCTACCTAATTTTCTAGAAATGCAAGTCTCACTTTACACTGTTTAACTGGAAAGATGAAGCTAGCAACTATAAAACCAAAAAACCCAACAACAACAAAAAAAAAAATCAACACCAGAAATCCTAAGCTAATGAATTTATGCTTTAAATTATTTCAGGCAAGTTTCAATAGGTCTATAAAAGACTAAATTTGTCATTAAAGGTCTACTCTTACTTCCAGCTAAGACCCAAACAGCTTTCTTTAAGGATATATTAACCCCCCGTTTCCTATCTACTTTCTTACACCCCAGCAGCACAGCCAGGGCTGGCCCTGTTAGGGACAGTATATGGACCAGGGTCAGGCCCCAATGCAGTTCCAGTTTTGAATTCTGCAGTTCTTCTAAACTCTAATGAACCTGTTCTGAAGTTTTGACTTCCTAGATGATGCATACATAAAGTAGAGGAACTCCCTTAACTGGTTTCTAACTGACGAGAGAGCATTCTCTGGCTCTCAGGGCTCACTCGCAGAGGGCTGGTCCACTCGATCCTGCAGCACGCACTCTTTCAAAGAGAACTTGGCACACACTCACGTAGTTTAACCGAAGTTCCAGAACAGATACTTTACCTTATGTCTAAAAGGCAAACATCTCTGAAGTTTTATTCTTAAACAAAGGCCTGTTTAAACAAAACAGATAAGAGATTTTCTAGTAAAAATCAAGGTTGGAGATGCATTTTCAGAGAATCCATATTTAACAATCAAAACACACCGGTATAACTGGCAACCTTCTTTTGTATTCGGAGCAGCACAAGCCACAGAAGAGACTAAATAATTTGTAGCTTGACCCTTTGGCCGTGCCTTCTCAGTTAAGCTCATACCTGCCTTGCAAGCTTAGGAGGTCTCTGGTCTCTAAAACACCTCCTAGGAACACTAAATACAGCCAAATCCCTCCATTTCCAGCTTTCTTCTATGTTTTTCATAGAGCTTCCCAGCTGTCACTGTGACTGCATCAGTACCGAGAAGAATGCTTGTTTTGTTTTCTAACATTTGTTAAAAAAACAGTGTAAATTGCTTGAAGAACACAAGCCTGCAATGACTTCGTCGCAATTCAAGCTCATAACTTCACTGCTTAATGCCTAACGCACAGACTGAGCGGAGGAGTGCTGTGGTTCATCTCTGGGAGCGGGATCCAAGTTTGGGGACACCCCTACCACTAGCCCATTGCAGCTTCCCCACAAGGCCTGGCTCTGCGATGAGCTGCGCACGGACAAACCCCGACCGCAGCCCCAGCTTGTCCCCAGGCTGAGCCAGCGGTAACAGCAATAGGAAATACTCCCTGGAAGAACAACCAGCTTACAGCACTCCATACAGATGAGGAAGTTTGGAAAAAAATACCTGCTTACTGCCTACATTCTTACATACGCCCCAACTATTTAAAACAGTTACCATAACCCTTTCCTGTAACAACAGCATGAGGAACTGTGCTCCAGATGTCACACAATACCGATAACAACTGCACGATCAAACGGACATCAAAGACCTGGCTGACATTTAAGCGCTGAGAACGCGATTAGCACGAAGTTTAAGATTTGACACGTACATCGTTGATCCTCGGGTTTAAGCCTTAACCCACTGACATTCCTAACAGGGTCAAACCATAAATGAATTCTTGCTCTTTGGCATGCTAATGCTTCACTATCTACGTTACTTTCTACATGAAGCTGCAAAGGTTTACGTGGGCATAAATACAGGTACTTCTTCATTAAATTAAAGACTTCCTTTCCCTTAAAATACACTGAAAATCTGAGTATTGATATATAATGGTAAGAGTTGCTAACCTTAGTACATTTAAACAAATCATTTCAGAGATCTCAGATGTGATTTTTCAGATGTGATCGCACCACAAATAATAAGGAAGGAAAAAAGCAAAATAAGCCAGTGTAGATTCTCATTCAACTTAATTGCTTTCAAGCTCCTAACAGTCCAGAATTTTTTTTGTATTCTTGGATTACGTGTGGAGTTTTTGTACATGTGTGGGAATGGAGAACAGTCCATAAGGTAAGGGAAAGATAAGGGAAACAGTCATAAAGTTTTAGCATTTTTTTTTAAATTTAAGAGCTGACAAAGTTTTTAGTTTAACATTACTAAAACAATTTGGAAAATATAAAGAAGGAATTCTGTACCACCTCCCAGTAGATTTTTGAGAGCTGCTCTTTGAAGAGTTTCCCTAACTTGATAAAAACAGACGGATGTCCCCACAGTTCTTCTGGTTTTTGTTTGTTTGCATTGCTAGTAGGGTTCTCAAGATGAAATTCCTGGTCAAACCGCTGGCAAAGCAACACTGAATTTTAACTAAGACTGATGTTATTCTGACAACCTAAAACTAACTTAACACCCATTGTTACAGATTTAGTGAAACAGAAATCTTACCAATGAGAGTAGCCAAAGAGCAATGAGGTACTGTTGGTGTAAACCTGATGATAACCAGATACTCATCTTCACCTATCTCATGCACTTCAACACAGCTTTCCGTTACCACTTCCAGTTCTTCTAAAGTATTAGGTTTCTCCGGGTCCCGGATAGTACGGATTATATCTAAAGCAGAAGACAAGTGACCAACAATAAAGTAGCTTTCCTGAATTTAATAAAAGGTACTTTTATTAGAAATCATCTTCTCAGCATCATTTATTTTGCTCCTCTTCAGAAAAGGCAGAGCTGTAAATATCAGTGATACTTTATCACACAAATTGCTTCAGAACTGGGCAAATTGAGGCATTTATTGTTCACCGTGCACATATTTTTCACATTCCAGTTCTAAACTCGCTGTTATTTTTTACAATCCCATCACAATAAAGAGAAATCAAAACATGCCTGTTCAAGGATATGTATTACCTTCGGAACTACTGGTCATTTAATATTAGCCTATCCAAAAGATATACGTAGATGTTGTATTTCAGATAGGTTTGCTTGCCTTTCAGGTTTTTCAAAATCTAACATTAACAAGACAAGCCAGATTTCCTTCTCATTTTCTTCTCTCTGCTTCCCAGCCTGGGCCTCACAGATAAGATTTTGAAGCCACCTTAAGGAAAGACAATACAAAAATAACGCACTAATCCATATTTCTCTGTATCAACAGTCACTCCCTTAGCTTGCGAAATGTGGAGATCAACTAGTTTTAATATACCTGTATAGAAAATGATAAGCAGCATTGCCTTTTATAGAAGCAACGTGTTCTGGATTCGCTTAAGGAGGTTTCATCGTAGAATGGAACAGAAGTACATTTATTGTTGCTTTTTCCATAGCGCAAAAGGTTTTAAAGTAATAGTCAATAGCTACAATATTTGATTATAGGGCACTGAAAAATAATGCACCAGAGAGTATATGAATTCAGTAGATTTCCTAAGAGCCTGAAAAAATAAGTCTCTGCATTTCGATGTATTTGCTGAGTAATGTAGCACAGAAGGAAAGGCAACAAGATCTGCAGCCTGTTCACGTCGGTGCCACGTACATGGCCTAACTTGAAGAGGCACTCATTTTGACAGTGAAGGCCAAACCCAGGAAGTTCCCAGCTGTCACCTCTCACTCGCTTCTGCCTTGTATGCAGTTGTTTGCCCCTTAGAAATGCAAGTACAAGCATCTCTGGTATAAATAAGGTAACTAAAGGGATACAGGTTAAGATCACTTCCAAAAAAAAACCAGTTAAAAAAGAACGGGGAGGTATTTTTGGCCAGCTGTAGTGATTTTCTTTGTAGTGTAGCCCTACCAATAGCGCTACTACAATAGCTAACTGTATTGCGAAAGCAAACGTGACACCAGTCTTTGCTATGGCAAATTCCTTCAGTCTAGCTTCAGCACAGACCCACCCAGCTCTTGAGAGCTGCAGAGCCGCTTTCAGTGCATTCC